AAAAAAAAAAACTAGTTCTATTGGTTTGAATACAATGAAAGTGTTGTAGACGGAAAATTTTTAAATCATTACATAAACTAACAAATTTCCCTTCTACATTCGCTTTATCTTTACCTTTACCTTTTCCTTTTTTTTTCTTTTCAAACATAGAACACTTCGTTCGTATTTTTAAAATTTAATTTTATAATGAATGGAAATTTAAGAAATTGGTATAATGGATAATATAACACGAATCTTTTTTATCATTACAATAATTTGCTTATCACAAATTCCTCATAGTACTACAACAAAATTGCTACGAATCAAACGACAAATTCATTTTGAAAAGAAGAGCAAAAAGTATGATTATAATTATCATTTTATCATTATCATTACTATTATAATCAAGTTGTATTATATTATAGCTGTATTTTTTGTCGGAAATGATCATTTCTAACTTAAAAATAGTTAATTAGTTTCATTCATTTACAAATGAACGGAATTAGTCAATTATTTTTTAACTAAAAATTGATTCCATTCACTTGGAAATGGGATCGATAGACTAGAAATAAATAAAATGCTCTAAATCATTTGTTAAATTTCTTGAGAAGATAATTAATCTGTCATGATTTTACAATATGCTATTATCATTTAATTCTTGACAATTTTAGCACCGAATAACTTTTGACCTTTCCGTTTTTTTTACTTTTTTTACTGTAAGTTACTTTTTGAATTTTGTGAAAATCATCGTTAATCCAATCATAAATTAGGTGGACAATAGACATTGTCAAACTAAATAAGCGATTAGGTGGAAAGGTAGGTAGTTAATCTTGATGAGACAACAAAAAAAAAAACGAAAAAGAAAAAAGAAACAAATGTTTTGCTTTGCTTGAAATTAAAAGCAAAATCACAAAAAAATTTAATTTTGATTGGATTAATGGTATTTTTTGTGAAATTTACCTGACTAAATCTGGTTTCTTTTAAAAGAAAAATTTTCCAACTTTTTATTATCACAGGAATTGATCATTATTCATTTGCAGTAATGCAGTAGATTTTCGTATCCCAGAATATTTTGATCTTAAAGGTGAGAAGCTTAATTTATTAATGGAAATGATTAAAGAACGCATCAATATGCTGAATGAAAATAAGGTAATAACTTTTAATTGTATTATCAACCAAAAATTTTTTTTTTACCCTAATTATTCTTTTACATTTTGAAATTTGATTATAAATCAGATAAAATAAAATGAGAAAAAATAGTATAACCTTATGCGAAAGGTAATTATTCGTGATTTAATTGGGGCTAATTTTATAAAATCGTAATCTATTTAGAATTATTCTTATAAAATATCGCAAAATAATGATATTTCTTGGATATTCTGCCTAATTTTTGGAAATTATTTAGTTGAAGAGAAGTGAAATACATAAACGATACTTACGGATACTTGGAGTTATTCTTCCAACATATATCTTAGCATCAATTATTTGGATTGCTGCAAATATTATCTTCTATAAAAGGTTAGCCGCTAAATGGCATTTGAAAGTTAAAAAAATGAAATTTTCAATAAATATATATTTTTTCACTTGGAAAGAGATCAATTTTAAACTCAATTGAAATTAATAAATAATAAATGTCTATCAAATCAGTAAGAGAAATGATGAACTAAGTAATTGAAGTATTAATTTTGCATGATAATTAGTCTGTTTTATTAATTATGAATGGTGTAGATTGATAAAATAGGCATGAATTATAAAAATGATAAACTTGTTATCGCTGCTGAATAAAAATCGAAACTGTAATAATTTTATGCAAATTAATATTGCAGACAAAAACAAAAATTAGAAAATGGTGGTAAAGAAAATACATTTGATCGAAATCAAGAAAGACAGTTAGTTATAAATTAATTTTTTGTAAAAAAAAAATGCAAAATTTTGTGAAGTTAAAACTAAAATTTTTAAATATTATTTACGCAATTAACATTAATGACTGAAAAATTTTTTTTAATTATAGACGTCTACTGGAGCGATATAATCAAATTCCATCACCTAATTTGACATTCCTTGATCAATCATCCATACCTGTAACAGAATTTACTGATGATGAAAGTAATTTGAACAATCTATCGGATCATTCTTCATTTGAAGCCAATCGTGCACGTGTAGAAGCAATTCTAAAACGTAACAATGAACCACAATTTATGAGAAGAATTTAATTTTTGATTTCATTAATTTAAAAGAAAAATGTTTTTGCTGAAATAATAAAATAAATTCTTTCTTTTTTATTTGATATTTGATGCATTCAGTCATATACTTCATAAAATGAAATGATAGCACTCTGATGATGATTAATTTATTTTCAAAGCCAGTTTTAATTTTTGTAATAGATAAATCAAAAACCATTTTTTTCCTTTTTTTTCTTTTTCAGATTTATGGACGATTAAATTTGTTTCTTACTTAACTTAAATTTTTATTCATTTAACAGATGAAATCAATAAAAATTGAATTTTAATCTTATTTTAGTGAAAAAAAAATTTATTTCGATTTCAATTTTTTCCTTCTATTATTGAAGTTTGGAAGAATTTAAAGAGAATGTTAATTTAAAGAGTAATTTCAAAACGGAACATTCAATGTATTTTCATTCTTTAAAATTATCCATGCCTAAATTTTAAAGTTATGACTATAGGAGAGATTAAAATCATTTGCATATCTTTCTGCTTTTTTTTAGTGAAAGTAAATAAAAGTTTAAATCTATACTAATTAATTAAAGAACTTGCCATTAATTGAGTGCAAAATTAGGTAAACTCATAAATTGCAACCAGAAATACTGTGACATTAACGAAAATTTAGATTCATTCAAGCTATTTTGGAAATATATTTTGATGCAGTTTTGATTAAAAGGAAAGAAATTAAAAGGAAAGAAATTAAAAAATTTAAACACTATAAAACATGAAAACCTAAAAGTTTTTGAAATAATGATTTTATGGATTGAATTTGACAAAAACAATTTGACAAAAACAAAAACATGACACAGTCACACATTGACACTTATCTTGCAGCAAAGATTTGTTTGCTTCAAACATTTTTTAGAACAAAATTAAGGATTCTGAAACAATCTTAAGCCATCTATAAGTAGAACTTTCCATATTATGAAAGTCTATAAAACCTAATTTAAAAGAAAATTCAGTTCTTTATAAAACTCCTTTGTTCGAAAATACCACTCTTCTTTCTGATAGTACGCTTCTTCAAATGATGAAATTGCAAATCAAAATAAGATTTGTACTACGACAGAATCGAATTATGATAATAACATAATGCAACTACGAATTGATCCTGATATGATAACAGCTTCTTCTAATACTAACAACTTGCCAAAAAAGTTTTAAATTATATTTCTAATATTTATGATTTATTCAAATATGCGATAGTATGTAATTAATTAAATGATTAAAGATTAGCTGAATAATTAAAAGTTTTAAATTTATAAATAATAAAGTCGTAATATAGCATGTAAAAGATAGCCGACGATTTTACTGAACGATTTTGCAATTGTTTTAAGCGTTGTACAGAATGATAGTAATAATAATAATGATTAATAATAATAATAATGATAACAATAATAATGATAATTTCCTTTAATGACCTTACATGGTAAGCAAAATATATGAGTTTGCTTGCCTTAGAAACTTTTGATAACTTTAATTTGTTCAACGCCATATATCCCACAAATTTGAGGTGATAAGTGGTAGTGAAAAAAATTTTCAGTACGACGAGATTAGATTAAAATAAGCTGAAAACAGGGATGAAA